TTTGTTACACCTCTACCCTCCTGTCAAAACTGTCGTTCCCTGGGATCTTCCTCTAGTCCTTCGTCAACTTACGAGGCAACCCTTTGAGCCACTCGCGACTTGCGAACTGAAATTCCTGTCTTGGAAAATGGCCTTTCTGGTGGCCATCACCTCTGCAAGGCGAGTTAGCGAGATACTGGCTTTCTGGCATGACACGCCTTATTTGTCATTCTTGCCAGACGGTTGTCCACCTCGTCCCTGACATTTCGTTCCTGCCAAAGGTAGTGTCAGAGTTCCACCTATAGGCAGAGGTCTTCCTCCCAGATTTCTTCCCAGCTCCATTACATACCTTCGATGTCAAAAGGGCACTTCTACCTCAGCAGAACCCGCCCAACGAGACGTGACTCCCAACTGTTTGTCTCATATGCACCAGCGAGGCTGGGGATTCGCATCACGGCTCAACGCCTCTCAAAGTGGATTGTGGGTCTCACCCACCTCTGCTACTTGATTGCAAAGCAGCCGTTGCCTGGCCCCATCAAGACCCATTCAACCCGGGCTGTTGCGGCTTCCACTGCCTTCCTCCAGGGAGTACCCCTGACGGACATCTGCTACCTGGGCCACGCCTAACACCTTTATGAGGCACTATGCCTTAGACGTCCGTAAGAACTCTAATACCAACATGGGACGTCACATTCTATCTTCAGCGACGCAGTAAGGACCTGCCAGCACCCTCCTCCAGGTAGGCCACTGCTCGCTAATCTCCCATGGGTGTGAAGCACAGAGACCACGTCGAAGATAAACAGGTTGCTTACCTGTAACTGATGATCTTTGAGTGGTCATCCGTGCATTCACACCACCCGCCCTCCTTCCCCGCTGCTGTCAGCTTCTACATTTTCCATAGGGGTTGATTTGCGGCGGTTTGAAGGAACTGGCGGGATGTCCGCGCCCACCCCTCTGGGCATGCATGGTGGGGTTCCTGCGCATGCCCGAGGGACTGGGTGCGAAAATCCGTTAAAGAGCTTGCTACAATGCCGATCGATCCAGCACGTGCGCACTAGATCCCATGGGTGTGAATGCACAGATGACCACTCGAAGATCATCAGTTACAGGTAAGCAACCTGTTTTTTTATGGAATGAGACGTAAAATTGCTTTATGTATTTAGTAGAATATACAGTTTTGTAAGCCTTTGTTTTATTTTTACTAAAATATATAATGCAAACTGTAAAAAAAATCTATTGACTATCTTCACTGTGCGCAGAATTTTGTGTAAAAACAAAACTCATGGTGCATTTTTTTTGTTCAGCACTGGCTGCAGCTGCTAATGTACAACCACTTGCAACACAGTGCTTCCAGCTCTCCAACATGTTTAACCCTCAAACGTAAGTTGATCATCTTCTTTTTTCATCTAATATAAACACAAGAGTCAGTGAATTTTTAGACTTATGTTTTTCTTTACAGTGAAGAAGAAGCTGGCTGGGATACAGAAATTAAGGATGATGTGATTGAGGAGTGTAACAAACACGGAGGAGTTGTGCATATATATGTGGACAAAAATTCAGCTCAGGTATGTTACTGAAATTTAATCGAAAAGTTGTCTGTTCCTGTCATTCTCCAAGAAGTGATCCCTATCATTAGTACAAACAAATATTGGGGAAATAGTTCAATGTACAAAAGAGCAAGATGGAAATATTCTAACATTTGTGCCTTAATGCAACTTTATTCATGAAAGCAGGACTTCATGAATTCTGAATCTGTTGCTGTAAATGATAGTGATGTGTACTGCAATTTCTACAATTCAGGGCTGTGTTTTTGTAGCAAATACCAGGTTGGATCCAGACTAAATTTTCCATCAGAGGAATGGAACTTTCCTAGCTCCTCCATCCCACTGCAGCACACTGATCTTCCGGGAGGGTCTACATTGAGGTGTAGAGATGAGTGTAAGATGCTAGTTTAGTCTGGAAAACAATGTTGAAGTTTCTGAAAGCAGATAGATTTTATTTAGAATGTTTAGTATGTTTAAACATTTCACCTGTTCATAGGTGTAAAAGCTTCTGTAATTCTGCTACTAAGAGATTCTGTTACTTTTAAAAATCTTACATTTTTTACATGTCTTCTGCATTAGGGAAGAGGAAGGGAGAAGTTGGTGAAAACAGATTTACTTGATGAAAGCAATTACAACGGTTTTTTGTATTTCAGGGCAATGTGTATGTCAAATGCCTTTCAATAGCTGCAGCAATTGCAGCTGTTAATGCATTACATGGGAGATGGTTTGCAGGTAAGTAAGCACTTGCTATTCTTTTACAGTTGGTCATTAACAAAAATAGTCATACATGGTAGACAGTGCTATAACTTTGAGAAATAAGTAGAAATTCCTGGAATACCTTGAACTAGATGTGTCAAAGTTTTGGGAGGGTCTGTTGGTCCTCTGGAGATTCACAGTGAAACTAATGCATCTGTTCCATGTTTTCCCCAAATAGATGCATTTTCAGGGCTGTAAACCCTTAGGAGAGCAGAAAGATTGATTTGGCTCTGTCACTGTGAATTTGTTACAAGCATTTAAGAACTGATGTGTTGCCTTAGCCATAGTGACAATTTCTGGTTCATCCAATTTAATGTCTTGAGCTTGGATAGATGAGTTGTTCAGGTGGAAAAAAATATAGTGATCCATAGATATTTTCTGGGTGGGGAACTTTGCCCTCCCACCTTAACATCCCTGACCTTTATGATATGCCAGCCATAATGGTAAGTAGAGCAACATATGCAATGTGAAGTTATAGGCCTTTCTGCCTTAAAATCACTTCGAAGCTTTCCCTAGAAGTTTCTGAATGCACTCGTCTTTGTGTCATACTGCCCACTCTCATTTTTTAAAAATAAGTATTTTTAAAATCACTTCTTCCCTCCTTCCCCATCTTTCTCTCTCTCTCTCTCTCTAGGTAAAATGATTACAGCAGCATATGTACCTCTTCCAACATACCACAATCTTTTTCCTGATTCTGTGTCTGCAACTCAGCTTTTGGTTCCTTCTCGGCGATGAAGATGGATTTAGTCAGTTTTGTACATAGCTATTTTTGGAGGAAGACCGAGTTACCTTTTATTTAGATTAAACAAAAGGAAAGGGTGTAATGTCCTTTTGTGTACACTTCCTGTTACCTTTAAACAAAAAATAAAGAGTAAGCAG